CTTTCAGGGCGTAGTCCCTTGGCAGGTGATTGACTGCCCCAGCAGTCAGGGGTAGCTTGTAATGTTAGGATTCCATCCAGGGAGAGAAATAGTTTATTTTAGTGGGCCTCCACAGAGCCCTGTTCTAGATTATGACCTGTACCTAGAATTAACAAAATGACGTTGTGTGAAGGTGGTTGTTGGAATACATGATCAATACCAAGCTGAACAGGAAGAAGCAAGCATTTCCTGTGTCTTAGTTATTGTTCTGTTGTTGTGGAGAGATAACCTAGGTCAACGCTTATAAAAGAAAGCATTTAATTGGGGGGTTGCTTATGGTTTCAGAAGGCCAGTCCATTATCATCATGGTGAGGAGCATGGCAGCATACAGGCTGGCATAATGCTGGAGCAGTAGCTGAGAGCTACATCTTAATCCACAGGCAGCAGGCAAGAAAGACACTGGTTCTGCCCTAGGCTTTTTAAACCTCTAAGCCTGTCCCCAGAGTCACACCTCCAGCAGGAACACACTCCAACAAGACCAAATCCTATAATCCTTTCCAAACAGTTCATCACCTGGGACTAAACATGCAAATGTATGGGCCTATGGGGTCATTTTCATTCAAATCACTATACCCTGCAATGGCTACTAAACGCCCCCCACTTCCCCGTGGACCCTTGCATTTCTCTTCCTTACAACCTAGTCAATTTGCTCATTCCTAATACTCACCTGAGACAGTGGAAAGGGTTAGACAATGCTTTCTAAATGATCAGACTCCTCTAGGACAGAGCCCTCGGTGACATTGCCTCTTGTAGTATCATTGAGTCAGAATGTTTCCCAAAGTGGGCAGTTCCTTGGGAAAGGATGAGCACCTTTTCCTTCCTTCCTTCCTTCCTTCCTTGCTTCCTTCCTTCCTTCCTTCCTTCCTCTCTCTCTTCCTTCCTTTCTGATTTGTTTCCTCTTATTTAAAATACAGATTTTTCTCACACATATCCTGACTATGGTTTTCCCTGCCTTTTGTCCTCTCAGTACCTCCTCCCCTCCCCTCCCATCTGCATCCTTTCTGTTTCTCATTAGAAAACAAATGGACTTCTAAGGGATAATAAGCAAATGTGATACAACAAAGACACCAGAATTAGATGAAACAAACCAACAGAAGGAAATGAGCCCAAGAGAAGGCACAAGAATCAGAGACCCACTCATTCACATACCCAGGAATCCTATAAAACACTAAAGTGGACACCATAATTTATATACGCATAGGACTACAGACTTTGGCAGGCCCTATGTGTGCTGCCTCAGTCTCTGTGAGTTCATATGTACTTTGATCATGTAGGTTTAGAGGCCTTGTTTTCTTGGTGTCCTCTATCTCTTCTACTTCCAAAACTCTTTGTGCCCTGAGGGGAGGCATTTGATTAAGACATCCCATTTAGGGTTGAATCTTCTAAGGTCTCTCACTCTCTGCATATTGTCTAGCTGTGAATCTCTGTATTTGTTCCCATCTTCTACAGGAGGAAACTTCTCTGGTAATGGCTGAGGAAAGCACTGATCTATTAGTATAGAAAAATATCATTAGCAGTCATTTTATTGCTACTTTTTAAAACCACAGTAGTTTTTGGTTTTACCATAGGTCCCTGAGCTATCTAGTTTCAGTTTCCTGATCTCCCAAGCAGTGTTGGATATGGGTTCCATCTCATAGAGTGGGTCTTAAATGAAATCAGACATTGATTGGTAATTCCCACAAGCTCTATGTCACCATTGCTACTAACATATCTTGCAGGCAGGATAGTTTATGGCTAGATTCATGTTTCCTGTATCAAAAATACTAGGACATAGTGGTATAGGCTCTGTGTAGACACCAGCTCAATTTCTCCATGTTCAGTGAGTTGGGTAGGTGTTGTCTTAAGCAATGGGACCTTGCTGTCTGTTTTCTGAGAGAAACGAATAGTCTTGGCAATGGCCTGGGTTGTTTGAGGATTCCCATGGGACCCCTTTGGCCAACAACTCAGATGTAACCCAATCCTGGGTCTGAAAGCTTCATTTGGTTACAAATAATAGCCAGTTGGAGTGCTAACTCCCCCATTATTTGACAATTTCATTTAGATTGCCTTCATATATGCATATATTTTAGGAAACTTATACTGTATTATGTTTCCATACTATCCCTCAAATGCCCCTTTATTTTAGCTTTCTCTCCCTATATTCTCTCCCTAGTCTTCATCTTGCTTTACTCTCCTCACTTGACCCTCCTGTTCCAGAGTCCCACCCACTCATACCTATTCTATTTCCCTTTCCTAATGAGATCTATCTGTTCTCACCCCTGCATTCCTTACTCTATACCTAAACTCTATGGTTCTATGAATTGTAGCTTGGTTATCATTGATTTAACAGCTAGTAACTCCATATAAGTGAATATATACTATATTTGTCTTTCTGTGTCTGGAATTCTAGCTCCATTCATTTACCTGTAAATTTCATGATTTCCATTCTTTTGTTAAGGGACATCTAGTCTGTTTCCAATTTCGGATATTTTGACTACAGCAACAATGAATATGGTTGAGTGAGTGTCTCTGTGGTAGAATGAACCATCCTTTGGATATATGGTATAGCTGGATCTTGTAGATAGATTCCCATCTTCCTACTGATTTCTATAGTGACTGTACAAGATTGCACTCCAACAATGAACAGATGTTGGATATTGCCCTTGCTCCACATCTTCACAGTGTTAAGCTGTCACCTGTTTTATTGATCTGAGCCATTCTGACAGGGAACATCTCTTTCTTAAAGCACAACTTAAACACACACACACACACACACACAAAGAAACCATTTCTCGCTGGGCAGTGGTGGCGCACGCCTTTAATCCCAGCATTCGGGAGGCAGAGGCAGGCGGATCTCTGTGAGTTCGAGGCCAGGCTAGACCGATAGCCTCCAAAACAATACAGAGAAACCCTGTCTCGAAAAAAAAAAAAAGAAACCATTTCTCTTATTGTTTGTTAGGACTCTACTGTGTTAAGTGCTCTCATGTGGCCGTGTGACTACATATTTACTGTGCCCTGTATGTAGAATGGCCTAGAAAAGAGAGATCTTTTGACCTCAGTATTGCTAGTGTTACAGAGATCTCCTTCTGGCCTCCCCTTGGACTCCTATCCTTGTGTTCCTTGTTGGATGGATTCAGATGAAACACAGAGCACAGTAGAGAAGATGGACAGTATTAACTCTAGAGCAAAAGGAGATGAGAGTAGGCAGTGACCAAAGTAGCCATTGCAAAGGGAACATTCTGACAGATTGAGGGTGGACAGTAGCCACAGACCATCCTACAGACCCACAGGTTTAGGTAGGTGTCACACAGTTTTCTAAAGTCTCTTTATTTTCCTGCCCAGGTCATTGATAGGCCCATTATAATTAATTCTTTTGTTCTTTTTAATTGACTCTTAGGAGAGTGACAGTATTAGTCTTTGTTATTTATCAGAGCCAGAGATGTAACTTAGATCCCAATCTTTTAAACAAAAGCATATATCAGAGTAGTTTTTTTATTCTAACTAAAGAAAAAAATCTATAAAATAACCATGCTTTACCAGGAGACAGTAGACTTCCCTTGGGGCTTCAACAAAGCCTTGCTGTGTCCGCGTTTATATTAAATGGTGTTTCAAAATCTGTCAAAGGGTGTTTGAAGTAATTTCTCTTTTCTTGAAATTAACATGCTACCAGAGATACCAGAGTTTGGGGTCTAAAACGCTTCATGAGGGAGAAGTCAATCTTCAGTAACTTCCAAGGCTTCTAGTTTTTATTTTCTTAAGATTTATTTTTTTTTATGTGTGTGTCTGCGTATATGCATGTGTACCACATGCATGCCTGGTGCCATAGGAGGTCAGAAGAGGATGTTACACCTCCTGGAACTGGAAATATCAGCAGTTGTGAGCATTTGTGTAGATCCCGGGAACAGAACCCAGGTCCTCTGCAGACCAGCAGGTGCTCTTGGCTGCAGAGACATCTCTGTAGTTCCTGGCTTTCCCATTTTTAACTAGGTAGATAACAATATTGCTACCCATATTGCCCTCAAACAGGACCCCTTTTCCCCCTTCAGAATTGTGGAACTAATAATGCCACCAGCAGCTGAGGCAGTAAGGAGAATTTTATTTTTCACCAAGAAATGATGAGTGAGAAGTAAACTTGGAGTCAACCTCTCTGCCCATGGGGGTTAGAAGATTATAGACATAGTGAGAGGAAAGAGTAGGGTTGGCTAATAAAGGGGGGAGTAATTTCTGTCTGGGAATGTGGAGATTTTCTGGGGCCTTGGGCACTACCTCCTTTGCTAGCTGTGTTACTACCGGAGTGTGTCATTTAGGTTATCAATGAGGTTGTAATGAAGGTTAGTGTGGGGTGTGGATCACTCCGGCAGAGTTTGTAGATCTCATGGTTTTGACCCGCTGATATGATGAGAGACTTCTAGCCTACAAGCCTCCTATTCTCAAAGATAACACAGAGCAGTACAGAAATTTAGATAGGCCACTTAGTACTTCAAGTAACTGCATTCTTTAATGTCCCAGCACTCAGGAGGCAGGAAAATGGTATTTTAAAACCTGTTTTCATGCCATTCTTTCTCACTAAGATTCTAACTGTACACTTGACTGTAAGTGTGTTTTAAAGCCTGCATTTGCCACCCCTGAACACACATATATTTCAGACCTCATTCTCATCTCACTCACAGCCAGAGTACAGCTGCAGGACGCTTTGGTAGCATTAAAAATCTCGTTGCATAGCTCTAATGAGTGGTTGTGGATAATTTTGTCAGGTAGATGAAGGATTTGCTGTTTAGTCCCTCATAATTAAGGTAGGCATAAAGATGTGGGCAACAAAGATCATATCTGTTTACAGGCAAATCACACAAACTAATTTCAGCTATAGAAAGCTACATTCAATAAATAGTAAATTAGCTTAGGCAGATAATATTCTTCAACTTACTGAGTTCAAAAATATTTGCTGTTTACTCTTAGTTATTTAAAATTGAAAGACAAGAAAATGATGTAGAATCAATTTTATTCAAAACATATATATCAATATAAAATTAGTTCAACTAAAAAATCTAGGCTAATCAAAAGCCCAGATAAATCACATAAAACAAAGACTCTTCCCATATGTTTCTTATCAATAACAAAAGACTTTGCCATTATAGTAACTACATGTTCCTGGAAAGCAGCTTTTGGTCTTAGACACGAACAATATGAAGTAGAAAATGGGGAAGTAAGAAATAGGTTCTGACAAAAATTAAAATAACCAATCCACGTTTCCTTGTTTGTCCTTAAAAAGGAGCATGCTTAGCAGAGCAAAGATCAAGACTATCCAACGTATACACCGTAGTCAAGTTAATTTCTTTTGCAGGAATCAGCTCTTTCTCAGGAAAAGCAAGGATATCAGAGTTGAGTTGCTCATCAGTCAAGTCTAGGAGTGTGACTCAAGTTGATTGGCACTTCTTTGACACATTTGCTTTCTTGCCTTGCAACTGCAGACCCTTATTTGAACTCAGGTTATCAGACGTTCCAGAAGGTACACTTCCCTACAGCCATCTCACCAGCTAGACCAGTGTTTCTCGGCCTGTGGGTCATAGCCTTTTGTGGGTAGGGAGGTCAAGTGATGTTTTCACAGGGATCACATATCAAATATCCTGCATATCAGATATTTCCGTTACAATTCATAACAGTAACAAAATTACTGTTCTGAAGTAACAGTGAAAATAATTTTATGGTCACAACATGAGGATCTTTATTAAAGGGTCACAGCATTAGGAAGGATGAGAACCACTGCTCTAGGCCCTTATTTGACAGTGAAAAAACCTTAGCTAACCTTCCTCCCACCCTCACCCCTTCCACTTTATTCTTGGAAGTTACCTTTCTATAATCCAGTTCTCCACTGCCTATCCATAAAATCCAAACCTCTTGATCTACAAAAAGCTTACACTATCTCAGCATTGCTTTCTGCATGTCTAGTCACCACCCTTGCTCTGCTAGCCCCTAAACCACTTTCATTTGCCTGACATAGAATACCTCACTACTATTCATGGTGCATGTTGTAAGCAGTTTTCATGCATTCCCCATGCTGTTCCCATCCATGTGTGCAATGTCCTGTCCAAAACCTGTCTTGTTCTTCAAGTCTCAGTACTTGCTGATTTTCATTTCAGCAGCTAGAATTAGTTCCTTCTCTCTGTGTGCCTTCAGTTACCTCTGTTCAGATACCAATCACTGACATTCCAATGCAACTGTATCTATTAAGCTGTTTATTTTAGCCTATGTCCCATGTCTTTTCATTCCATACACCACCTATTCCCTAACACTTGCATTAGCTCATCTCAAATCCAGTAAATAATTTCATTTGGCTTTTATTTATGTAAAGAACAAAAAAAATAAGTGAAAAAGCTCATCAAACATGACTTGGCTATCACTGTATAAGATAGAATAGAAATACTATGATATGAGTAACTTGGATCATAAAGATGAGCCTTGACTGATGAAGTATGGAGAAATTCATGACCTGTTTCCCTTGGTTAGGAAAGAAATGAATGGTTCAGGATAACTGACATTTTTCTACCTAGTTAGCTAACTAATCCAACAGAAGTAACAAAAGAGATACCATCTTACCTAAAGTTCAGCAATTCTGGTGCTGAGGAACATTTGCCAAATCCTTCCATCTCTTGCCAAGAGCTGTTGAACAATGTCAGTGTAGCAAAATAACCGCAGTCTCTTGGCTTCCTGCTTGTTACTCCCTCCTTCAAATAAATGCCTGACTCTTGAGGCAGAATTACTTATTCTTCTCTGTATATTCCCACCACACTGTATGCAGGCTGTGATAAGTGGCTAAAAAGTGGTACTCTGCCAGGAGTGATGGAGTACACCTTTAATCCCAGTACTTGGGAAACAGAGGCCCGAAGAGCTCTATGAGTTGAATTTGAGGCAAATCTAATCTACTGAATGAAACCCTGTCTCAAAAACAAAACAAAACAAATAGGTAAACTACAACAGGAAGTTGCAGCTTAGCACAAAGTGAGCATCTAATGAATGGTGAATTGACTCTTGTTCTAATGATATGAAGAGATTCAAGATTACTTATGGTAATTCCAGCCCCCAGAACTTCCGTAGTATGCAAGGAGGAACCACTATCTATGAACACAGATTTAATGTCAAACAGTATTTTCTGCTGTCTACAATACTGATGTCTGAAAACAAGTTCATAATGAGTTCACTTAAACAAATGTTCCCGGGGTGAAGGGAAACGGCACTAACACTATGGCTGTCAGCATGCACGGATGCTTAAGGTAATTTAAGTGGTTGCAACAGGCCCATAGGACACCTGTAGTCTTTGATCTTGTCATTTACTGTTTTAACTATATAAAACATATAAGGAATTAAATGTGTAATTTGAATATTAGACATAAAGTTTAATCATCATTATACCCCAGCTGAATTTGTTGTAGGAAAACTCAGGGTAATAAAACCTCAGTTGAACTAAGATCTGCTCTTCAGTCTTGTTTCAGTTGGATCACTGACTAAACCAGTTCCTCCTTTTCTCTGTAAAAAACACTGTTTTTTGATTCCTTAGCTGTTATTTTGAGATTGGATCTCACGTAGCCCAGGTTGGCCTTAAACTGCCTGTGTAGTGCAAGTTGGTCTTGAAACCCCCTGTGTGACGCAAACAAGTCTTAAACACCCTGTGTTGCAGGCTGGTCTTAAACTCCCAATCCTCCTGCCTCCACATCCCAAGAGCTGGGATTAGAGACTTTCCAGCATGCTTGGCTATTTTGTGATTCCTTTTTTTAAAGCTTTATTGTTAATTTGCGTGTGTGAGTGCTTTGCATGTATGTATGTCTGCCTTGTGTGTGCTATGCTCATGGAGGCCAGAAGAGAGTGTTGTATCTTCAGGAACTGGAGCTACAGATTGTAAGCCACCAGGGGTTGCTGGCAACTGAACCCTGGTCCTCTGAAAGAGCAGCAGTAGCTCTTAACAGCTGAGTCCTCTCTTCAGTGCCTGTTCTGTAATGCTTGACACTTAACAGAAAAGTGTCCTCCAGCCTATGCAGACCTAGAGCTCCCCGTCTGCTGCTTCAGCCTTCTACACGCAGGTATCACAGGCATGTACCACCTCTGACAAAACAGCTCCAACCTGTGCGGTCATTTTTAGTGAATTTGCTAAAGTCTTGAAGGCATGTTTTCAACACTACTATGTCTCCATTCTGATCCAGTGAATTCAGTAAAAGCACCTTCCATGCTTGGCATTGCTAATTTTGTCAAAGAGTAATTTCCTTTGGCTCTACCTATTTAGGCTTTATATGCTGCTATGGCATACCTCCAGTAAGTCCATAAACTACACTTGGAGTAGAAAATTGATAGTAAAACAAATCTGACATTTTTTAAAGACACTAATAAACTTAGCTTTAAAAAATAACTAACCAGTGACATAAATACAGATTTAAGGGCATAGGAAAACACATTGGACTTTATTTTATGTTCACCTTGTAGATCCTCATTAATAATCACACTAGTATAATAAAGTAACAAGAAATACAGTCTGTTTATCAATATGTGTGTATGCAGATATTAGTGTATTTGTTTAGTATGAATGTACACCAAATACTGGAATTACTTCAATCCTATATGCATTTACATTTTAAAGTAGCCATGCAGGCATATGAAAAGAAGAAGGAAAACACAATATCAGAGACTATTCAAAAGTGAATATAAATAGCAACTGTCACTGTTTCTACAGGAAAAAACATTTCTATGCTTCCTAGCCAATTACTTTCATTCAGTAAGCTCTGTCAACACTGATCTCAGAACATGAAAATAATATTCTTGACTGACTTGAAATTATATTATTACATGAAGAAAGGCAAAACAGAATGTGAGATTTAGTTTCTTTTTGGCTAATTATCAAACATTTAAGTTAGGAAAATTTTTCTCTTTAATGTCAGTCATTCAATAAGCAGAGTACATTTACAGTAAAGTTAGTGATCAGTTGATAAGCCTAACAACAGAATATGATTACAGGAGAACAACAGTAACCAAATCATCTCCTGTGGCTGTCACCTGGGGTCTTCTGAGTCCTAACAGACTGTGGTTTCCTTCCGGGAGCTCATGCTGCCTGCAGCAGAACCGCCCGAGAGGACATGGAACAGCTTGGTTCTGGCTTACATGGTAAGCACTTTGAATGAGTCTTAATCGCTTTTTTTTTTAAAATCTAGAACACATTGTTGAAGGCCACATTTTCTCAACAAGCTTGTGAAGTTTTGTGTTCTATAAATGCAAACACAGTCCCACACAGAGTACATCCACATCCATGTGGGGATTGGAAGCTAGCCAGACATCATCCACAAGCAGAATGGGATGCAGACTGCAGGCAGGGTCACATATGATGCCAGGCCTGTGTAGACAATGGACACTAATCCCAAGACAGCTGAAGCAAGACAACTTCTCTGATCACGGATGATTATCTTCACCGTCTCATGAAACTGGAAAACAAAAGTTAAGGATGTTAGGAACCATGGCTAAAAGGAAGGAAGCACTTACATCATAGACCAAGTAGGCTTCCCAGGTGTTTAGTTTCTACCAGGAATACTTGTGTTCCCAGTGACCTATGAAATGATATACAGAGTGCTACAAAAGACGACAGAATGAGCCACATAAAAGTTAACCAGCATTTAAGGTTAAAGACTACATTGAATCCTTGATACTAAAGCTATCCTAAGAAGGAAGATTCTAACCTTGAGTTTAAAAAAAGATTAGGCAGTTCTTCTGCTTCACTACCCTAAAATTGTATGATACCAGTTATATCTTTTAAAGTCTAAAGGCGTAGACTCAGTCACACTGGGCTGCCATATCTTCTGCCTAGCTAAATTCATCATCGGTTATGTCACACATAATTAGCTCCTGGAAATAAATACATGAAATATGGTTCCCACCTTAAATGGATGCATTCTACCATATCGCCTTTTCTTTCATGTAAAAAGTAATTTTACTTGGAAATGGTGTTCTGACTCTCTTATTTATTTCTGGACATCCAATAAGACATTTAGGATCTCTGTGAGTTCAAGGCCTGCCTTGTCTACAGAGTGAGCTCCAGGACAGCAAGGGTTACACAGAGAAACTGTGTTATAATAAACCAAAAACAAAAAAAAAAGACATTCAAGTAGTCTAGACTTCCTTCTTTATGGGAATACCAGGGTAGCCTTGAGGATAATGAAATCTTTCATGTAAAAGAATAACTACTTTTCATCTATGTACATAAATGAAAGTTATTACAATGATTATTATCACTGTTGTATGTCTTGACAGCTATATCTGTACCATTGTCATTGCTAGAATTCAACAACTGTTACTTTCATGTGAGTTTTGCTATTCATACTAGACTTAAGATTCTTTTCTAGGATATGGCATTGTATATGAGATGAGGTTTTGCTGTATTGCTAAAGTTGGCCCAGAACTCCAGGCCTTAATAGAATATCCTGAAGCTGGGGAAGTTTCTAAAATCTTTACTTTTTAATATTTATTTTTATTATTTTTAATTCTGTATATGGGTATGTGCATCAGATATACACCCCTACCCAGAGCTAGAGTTATAGGCAGTTATGGGTGCTAAGAACCAAACTTGGGTCCTCTGCAAGAGCAATATGAACTCTTATCTGCTTATCCTTGCTTTGAGACAGTTTCAATATGTCCTGGTTGCCTGGGATTTACTATGTAGAACAGGCTGACCTTGAACTATCGAGATCCTTCTGCCTCTACGTATCTAGGGTGCTGAGGTCAAAGGTATGTACCACTGTGACTGACATAATTTCTAAATTATTAATATAACAAACAAGTTTAATACGGTCTAGGAACTCATAGGGACGTCTCAGTTGAGGACCAACCACAAATATGACAGTAGCCCTGTAGGATTCCATCACTGGTGTAATTATATTCTATATGCAAGTGCATAACCCCTAATGTTACATGTAAAATTAAGCCAAGCTTCGACTGTTTTAGTCCACAATGTGAATGTAAGACTATCGCTAGTCACAGTTTTACATACTACCTAAAGAAATAGCCAATATCCTATTAGCCATCCATATGCTGTTTATAGGACAAACATCTAATATATCTCTTTCTACTACACTAACAAGATAGAGTAATGAGTGTTTTGTCTTCACGTGGTTAAAATTAAACCGAATAAGGACCTGAGAGTGTAGCTCAGTTAGTAGAGTACTTGCTTACAATGCATGAAGCTAGGGGTTTAGTTCCCAGAGTCACACAATGAGTGTGATGATACATGCCTGTAATCCTGGCACTTGGGTAGTGGAGGTACTAATATCAGAAGTTCAAGTTCATTATTGTCTGCCTAGAATTAAGACACCAGCCTAGGGCACTGGCCCTGTTTCTCTCTTTTCTGTGTGTGGATACAGGTACATGTGTCTCTGGTCTCTGTCTCTCTCTCTGTCTCTGTCTGTCTGTCTCTCTCTCTCTCTTTCTCTCTGTGTATCTCTGTCTCTGTATGTCTCTCCTTCTGTCTCCCTCCCTCACTTCTTCTTTCCCTCTCTCCTTTTCCATTTCTTTTCCTCTCTCCCTCCCCCTACTCTCTATCTATTTGGCCATCAGCCCAGGAAGCATCTCCAGAAAGGCCAAAATTCTGAGGCTGGAAATATAACTCAGCTCAGTGATTGCCTAGAATACAGGAAACCCTGGGTTTGGTCCTCAGAACTCTTTACATTGAGTGATTCGGTGTGATGAGGCATGCCTGTGGGAGGTAGAAATAGGAGGAACAGAAGATTGGAAGATCAAGGTCATCCTCAGCTAGATTGGGAGCCTGAGGTCAGGCACACGAGACCCTGTCTCAAAAGAGAGGAAGAGAGAGAGTATGTGTATGAAATGTATAGAAGGTGTTAAGTTTACTTTTATGAACACTGAAACACTTGAGAAGAGGCATTGTATTCATCCTGGCAATAGGTCAAAGATTCATAGTAGAAAAGGTATAACAGTAAAAGTTAAAAACAGAGGGACTTGAATTTTACAATATACTTATGCTCCATATAAGTATAAAATCCTCGATTTTGTGATTCTGAGTCAGTATAAAAGCAATAATGGAAAGGGGAGGGGGAAGAGTCCAAGAGCTGGAGGATGGGGGAGTGCTCTAAATGCTGCCTCCTGTCTCAGCACAGCTGTGACCTCACAGCACTGAGCTTTCCTGCACAGGACTGCTTCCACTGAGCCAGGACATGGTTCCTGCCTGTTCTAGAGGCTGTCATACAGGGTCTTGGGAGGACCTGCTTCTGAGGAGACACTGGCAAGTGGATGGGTACTGAAGGAGAGGGAGTTGATTTTTCACTGAGTAGTTGTGCATACTCCAATAAGTAACCTCCAACCCATACAGACAACCCTAACTGCTGTGGTGGTTTGAGTAAGACTGCCCCTCATTGACACATCTATTTGAATGCTTAGTTGTCAGGGAGTGGCATACATGACAAAGAATAGAAGGTGTGGCCTCGTTGGAGGAAGTGTGCCACTGAGGGTGGACTTTGAGGTTTCTTTCAAAAACTCAAGCCAGACCCAGTGGCTTTCTTCTGATACCTGCAAATCTGAATGTAGAAAACTCAGCTATTTCTCCAGCAACATGTCTGCCTGCATGCCGCCATGCCCCACCACAATAGTAACAGACTAACCTCTGAAACTGTAAGCAACCACAGTTAAGTGCTTTCCTTTATCGCTGTTGCTGTGGGCATGATGTCTCTTCCCAGCACCAGAACAAGACACTAAATTCCTTGAGTCACACCCATAAAAAGTCTTAAAAGTAGGAGGGGACTTGTGAAGTAGACACTGGTTAACTGGAGTATGGGGGCAAAGATAATAGAGGAGGTGTGTGATCAAAATGCATTCTGCACATCTACAAAATTGTCAATAAATGTAAAAAGAGCATTCTCAAAAAGACTTAAAGGCTCTCTTTCAGTGCATTCTAAATTTATTTATTAGAGAGAGAGGGGGGAGAGAGAGAGAGAGAAAGAGGGAGGGAGGGAGAGAGAGGGTGTGTGTGTGTGTGTGTGTGTGTGTGTGTGTGTGTGTGTGTGTGTGTGTTCAAGAGGACAAAGTTGGGAGTTGGTTTCCTCCCTCCACTGTGAATTCAGAGATCAGGTTTGAAGCCCCTGTATCCCCGACTCCTTAATGCTCTGCTAGTGGGCACTGTATAGCAAGAAGTCTTCACCTGAGGGAAGGTGCTGGAAAAGCATGGTTTTGCCAGGCTGGTATAAGATACCATAGCTGTGAAGATGAAGATGTCAATAACCAAACCCAGGAGCAAATAATGGTTTATGTTTCTAGAAAGTGGAAACCATGGAGCTGAGGAGATGGCTCAGCCTTTGACACATGCTGCCCTTGAAGAAGTCTCACATTTCTTCCAGTACTGACTTTGGGTAGCTTGTAACTATAACCCCATCTCCTATAATCTCGAGTTTTACATATATGCACACACATATATGTAATTTAAAACAAAAAGTGCACGTATTAAAATTTTGAAGTAGAAATCGTATAGTACTAATGCCCCCTTAATAAAGAAAGAATAGAAGAAAAAGAGGAGAAGGGGGAGGAGAATTTGTTGTTCTTAGAATTAGAAAATTTGGGTGAGAATATTTTTCCCCTGCAGAAATCTCTTGTGGAGTTAGATTGTTTGTTAGACCATTCAAGGGAAACACAGAAATTTAGTTTCACCAGAGGATATACACAGCTCCATGAATTAAAATAGTTCTCCACTGCTGTGAAACATACCAACATTTCCCCCAAATTAGAAACTACCCAACTAGTTTTTTATATGAGTACTATTTCTTGTACAAAGCACTTACACCTCTTTTTTCTGTAAAAATATGTATGTAGCAGTGCTCCATGTGTGCTATGAAAGTGTAACTCAGTTTGGATAGGAAGACTGTTTTACTTTACGGTAATGATTGGTTTACATCTTAATGAAGTCTGACAAGTCTCCTTTTTTGGTACACTTTTGGAACCAGTGTTTGTATATGTTGGGAAATGCACTTCTAAACAGGCCTAGACTAGAGGGGAGTGTCGTGAATCATTGCAGAATATTCTAGTTGTGTTTTAATTTACCATAGAAAATTCCTAGAATAAGACTGGTTCAATTAAAATCTAAAATTTAATATTCCAACATATAAAAGCATAATAGCTATACTGAAGATATAGATCAATTAAATCTAGGCTGTAGAGTGTGGTGACTTGTTCTTTTTGTCTAAAAAAATGCATCTAACCCTGAAAATAACACCAAAGCTTATTGTGTGATTACCCAGAGTTCCATTAAGAAAAGCAAATGTAAATACCCCCTTGATAATGATAGGCAGGGCTGAAAAGCATCCAATTGCTAATGAATGTGCAGAATTAAAAACAAATTATTTGTGAGTTGAGTATTTTCTTTGGGAAATAATTATTTCTCCTTTGGATTTGTAGCTTATTTAACAATAATTTTCAAATACTTGTTCGTTTGATTTTTTTTCACTCATAAAATTACCTTCCAAAATGTAAGGAAGCTGAAAGTGAATTGTTTTAATCTCTGGGGAATTTAAAATCCAACCTACATTTGGGGCTAATAGCTAGAGGATGTTAACAATGAATGAGGACGTGAAGTGGGGTTAAAGTCACTTAGGAAGAAGTTGCAACACCAAGGAAAACAACTTCTCTGAATCAAACACAGAAACAAAGGGTGTCTAGCAGGAATGTCCTCCTACCAGGAATTTTGAGCCTATGAAGTAAATGGGAATTCACTTTATGCATCTAACAAGAGGAAAACTGGCCATCTTCCTGCCAGTTGCACCCCTTGGAGAAAGTACTAAGTCCTTCAGTCCCTCGGCCCTGATCATTTGAACTACCTCATGAGTGCAGACCAACATGACTTGTGCAGCGGTAATAGGCATCGCTTTAGAATCACTGAAGCGTTCTGTGTGGCCACACCCTTTTATGCACATTTTGAGATATCCCTCCTGCACCTCACACTGTCGTTTATTAACAGATCTCCACTAGAAACGCTGGACCTTTCCTTAATCTAGAGCTCCTAAGAATGGTGTGGTTGGGGAGATGTCCAAGGAGACCCCAGCTCCTGCAAGTCTCTCTCCTCCTTCCTACCTTCTCAGCCTGTGGACTGATTGGCGCTCCATATCTGCAGTAGGTCACAAAGTGTTCGCAGTTGTTCCACAGAAGGCTGTAGGGAGTTATCCCCAACTGCTGCTCAGCCCTGCATGCCACCTCCTCGTTAAGCAAGGATTCCTTCTTGAGAGTCTCGTCTAGGTGATTGACAAGGATGTCTGCTCCGTAGGCAAAGTCCTCTACCGTGTCCACACGGATGCTGGCCACCTTGCAAATTACTCCCGGGATGAGGCGCTTGTTGGAGACCACCTTCTGAGTACGTCCTTGGTCGCTGGTCAGAGCCAACAGGATGTCGGGCATTAGATGAGCGACACGATTGTTCCCCAGGTAGATCCCATAGTGGGTAAAATGGGTCCTCGACACCTCCAGCACATCGCCCCGGAGAAAAGAGCTGATTTCATAGGGACGGCTCTTCCCTGTGCCGCCTCCAGGAGTGCTCACACTAAAGAGCTTAAAGTTGGAGATGAGAAGCAGCTTCTCCAGGAGGAGAGACACCACTTCCAGCATCGGGTTCTTCATCCTGCGAACCAGAGTTTTGCCCTGGCCGCTGTGCTGTGCAAGGTGAGCTCGCCCGGACAGCGGCGCTGCAGTTCTGCTCACCTGCGGATCAGCACCGCGGGAGACTGCCTAGGGCTGCTAGAGCGAGAGTGCAGAGAGAAGCCAAGAGCCTGACTCAGTCACCCCGTGCTTGGTGGTTGAGAAGGGGAAGAACTGGCGTCCGGCAGCCGGGAAGACTGTGGTACCGGCGCCTGAGGAGCCAGGGAAGTAGCGCTCCTGGGGGCGGTGCTCCGAGTGCGCTCGCTCTACTCTGCGGCTCTTATAGAGGTGCCGAGGGCGGGCCGAATGCGGTCACAGGCCAGAGAACAAGGGCGGGCGTTCTGCACCCTGACTCTTCTCGCTCCTCGAGGACACTGCCTCACTCGAGACCTTTAAACAGCCCACGCAGAAGAGAGGCCAGAGGCGTGATGGCGCGAGGTCCTGCACCTGTAGCGAATGGAGCGCCTTTCTGGAACTTTTGCGATGAGAAGTGACCTCGATAAGATTTCTGGGTGATACCTGCTCTGAAGGGTATTGGTACCGCGGTCCTTGGCTCACTAAGGAATTAGTAATCTCCAAATGCCTGCGCCGCGAATGCCTGCCGGTTCCACCAAAGCTGATCGCTGTCGTCTTAGACACAGAGTCCAGGTGCACTCAGGTGGCTCAGGAGAAATGGAATTGCTCACTGTGCGTCCAGTCCCCCAGCGCGAATGCTTGGAACACTGCTGGTCTGGACGCTCCAAGGCGCCAGCGCCCGTTGGGCGCGCGCCTTCCAACGGTCATCAAGAAACCCCAACGTCCTCTAGCAAACAGGAGTCGTGCCAAGTTTCCTTGATGTCAGGGTCCCAGCTTCGCGTCACTCGCCCAACTGTTGCGCTTTTGTTAAAGTGCTGCCGCGCTAGGGAGAGTGAGGAAAGCTGAACCCGGGACGTGGCACTGCGGTCCTGGCCCGCGCACTTGCAGGAGACTCCCCAGGCACAGTTGAGGGTGGTGGGGAAGCTATCGAGTGAGGCAGCTCCTGAGTCCCTGGCTCCACTGGACTGGGTTCTGGGTGCCCAGGCCCGCCTGGAGTTCTGTGCTAATGTATTAAGTAAATAATTAAATTCCGAGGACAAAGGCCATAGGGGCAAGCTAGCCTAGTACCAAGGGGCTAAGAAGGCTACTTTCTGAGCTAGTGCTGAGATTCCCCTTTCCGGGGAAGGGACCTGGACCAGGCTGAGACCTGAGGTCACCTCTCTGTGGAGGACAGGGTCTTTGCTCCCAACCTGTCTGCTATCTGTCACTGTCTCTGCACTTTTGCTCATTCCACAGATGATTGCAGAACTCATTACACCACACCCCACACCCCAAGGAGGAAAGTACCTCAAACAAATCAAGAGAGCAAGGTGGGAAAGAGGAGGTAGGAATGATCTTCCTTCAGTCCATCTGCAGTCATATTCTCTTAATGCCTACCTGCTATATGCCTGCCTGAATGTTGGACAAAATCAACCTGTACTTACTTCCCACATCGTCTGTCATTGTACTTCCTTTTCTCGCTTGTCTAAGGTCAGTGGTCCTCTTTGACAAGTTGTTTTTACTGAGATAGTGAGAAAGGGTTAGGTAAGGATGGATTAACAGGAAGCCACTGATTTCTATCTGAAGAGCCCATGATAGGAGACATCCAACTCCAGAAGGTTTTCTTTGATCTCCACATGGGTGCTATGGCACTTACATGGACACACAATAATAATAAAAGTGAGACAGTCTATTCCAAGGAATTTTGCAGAAAAGAGACAGAATCACATGGAACTTTTTGTTGTCCTTTTGTTTATTTAAGTGGAGATTCTATTAGGGGTATATGAACATTAAAAGGTATGAAATAAAGGGGAGACAAAACCCACATAGTAATGAAGAACAGCTTAACTGCTCAACTTGGTGGCTGTTGCCTTTAATCTCAGCATTCAAGAGTCAGAAGAAGGATGCTGTGTGTTTGTTTTGTGTTAGTCATCTACTGCTGGGCATGGGGCCATTGTTAATTTGGATCTTGTTTCACTTGTTTTTAGTTAATTGGCTAAAGATCTTCTCAAAGAACCAATTCTTTGTTTTATTGGTTCTTTGTAATTATTTTCTGTTTGTTTCTGTTTTATTTATTTCAGTCCTGAGTTTGATTATGTATTGCCATCTTCTCCTTTGGGTGTTATTTTTTTCTTTTACTTGAGAGCTTTCAGTTGTGCTTAATTGTTACTAGTATGAAATCTCTCCAATTTTTATGTAGGTACTTAGTGTTATGAACTTGCCTCTTAGAACCACTTTCATTGTGTCATATAAGTTTGGGTATACTGTATTTTCATCTGCATTCAATGTTAAAAAGTTTTTTATTTTTTTCATGACCCATTGTCTCATTCAGATGGTAGTTTTTCAGTTTCCATGAATTTGTAAGCTTTCTATTGCTTCTACTGTTGATGATATCTAGCTTTAATTCATGGTGGTTGTATAGGATGTAAGGTATTATTTCAGTTATCTTGTATCTGTTGATACTTGCTTTGTGTTCAAGTACATGATCAATTTGGGAGAAAGTTCAATGAAATTTTGAGAGGACATATTCTTTTGTCTGTAGGCAAAATGTTCTGTAAACATCTGTTTTGAAAATAGGTGCATGTGATTAATGAAGTCATTTATCTCCTGAGGGAGGAAGTCTTCTGTACATATGTTTCTTTTATTGATTATAAGTGGACTAGGAGACAAGAAGAATTCTGGGAAATGTAGTAAGGAGAAGTCGCCATGTGATCCAGGCAGAAAGTGACATAGCAGAATTAGAGTATAAGCAGGAACAAGCAGGAAATCGCTCTCTCTTCTCTGTGAAGACGCTTAGTAAGTGAGGTGTGCTTGTGGCTTGTTCCTTCTCTCTGATCTCTCAACATTTTCCTCTATATGTGACTCCGGCCTCTTATTATCTAGACCAATTTAGGTCTCCGTTTACAATCTCCATCATTTCTCTGTTTACTTCTTGTCTGGATGATCAAATTATTGGTGAGAGTGTGGTATTGAAGTCACCCACTGTCAGTATGTGAGGGTCAATAAGTGATTTAAGCTGTAGTCATGTTTCTTTTATGAACTTGAACTTGGATGCCCTTGTGTTTGGTGTATAGACGTTAAGAATTCCAATGTCCTCTTGGTAGACTTTTCCTTTGACTATAGTGACCTTTCCTATCTCTTCTGGTGAGTTTTGATTTGAAGTTTATCTTTTCAGATGTTAAAATCAGTCAGTGGCTTGCTTCTTAGATCCACTTGCTTGGACTGTCTTTCTCCATTGTGTTTATATTTGAGTGATGTTTATCCCTGATGTTGAGGAATGGTCTTTGGGTGCAGCAGAAAAATGGATTGTGTTTTCAAATCCAGTCTGTTAGTCTGTGTCTTTTTATTTGGAAATGGAGACCATTGTCAAGGAGAATTGTGAATGAGCAGTGATTGTTGATTCTGATATTTTTTTGTTGTGATGTGGATTTTTACCCCCTTTTGATTTTCTAGTCTATGTTTTTTGGGTGTGGTTAACCTTTTCAGGTTGGTGTTTTCTTTCCAGTGCCTTCTGTAGGACTGGAATTTATAGATACATATTGATTAAATTTTGTCTAATCCTGGAATGACTTTCTTCTCCATCTATTTTGATTGTTTTGCTGGGTATAGTAGTCTGGGCTTACATCTGTGCTCTCATAGAGTTTGTATAACATCTGTCCAAGCTCTTCTGTCTTTTAGAATCTCCGTTGAAAAGGCAGGTGTTATTCTAATAAATTTGCCTTTATATGCTACTTGTTCTTTTCTCCTTGAAACTTTTAATATTCTTCTTTATTCTTTATGTTTGGTGCTCTGATATACGTTATGGTAAATTTCTTTTCTGATCCAATCTCCATCAAGTTAGGGAAATTTTCTCCTATGATTATGTTGAAACTATTTTATGTGCTTGAGTTTCTCCTTCTTTTATTCCTAATATTCTTAGATTGGATATTTTCATAGGGATTTTTTTAGATTCAACATTTCTTTTGATTGAGATATCTATTTGTCCTATCTTGTTTTCGGTGCCTGAGATTTTCTTCCATATCTTGAATTCTGTTAGTAAAGCTTACCTCTGAGAAGCCTGAGTTTCTAAATTTTCATTTCCAGTTTTCCATCAGTTTGAGTTTTCCTCGTTGATTCTATTTCCACTTCTATGTGCAGGCAGATTTTTATGTCCCTCTTTTCAGCTCCCAAATCATGACAGAGACTTCTCATTAGTTATGAAAGCTTAACCAATAGCTTAGACTTGTTTCTAACTGGCTCTTATAACTTAACCCATTTCTACATTCTCCCTTTGTTGCCTCTACTCTGCACTTTCCATGCTGCTTCCTCTGTCTCTGGCTGGTGACTCTCCATGTCTCTGCCCTTCTTCTTCCCAGTGTCCTCTCTGCCCCCAGAAATCCTGCTTAGCTTTTGGTCATTCAGCTTTCTAGTAAACTAACCTGAGTGACAAGTATTTACAGTGTACAAAAAGATTATTCTAAAGCATTTCCCCCTTTTTGTCTAAATAAGAGGGAAAGTTTTAACTCTAACATAATAAAACTATAAACAATAAGAACAACAGATAAGAATCACATTTACAATGTCCAATTCATTCCTATTTGGCATATTTGGAGAAAATAATCCATTATTTATTTTATCTTGATGAGTCCAAAACACCTGTCTATTTAGAATACATCTCTATTTGACCTTGAAAACATACCTAACATGACTACAAATTTGATTATTATAGGTGACTAATTACTAACCTGAATTTCTTTATTATCCTAAATAGTTTATAATAACTTTTAAGGACTAGAAATTTACATTACATTATTAAATGAGCTACATAGGTACAATACCTTAAATAAGAGTAGAAATGTATGTGCAGTATGTTCTAACAAGAATAACTTTAAATTTCTATCAATATACAAAAGTACCTTAAACAAGAGTAGAAACATATAAAGTACAACAAAAATCACCTTAAATTTGTAGAAAAATCTGTACAAATTCCATACCAATTAAAAATATTTGAGAGTGGTGCTTATTCAGCACTATACTTAAAAACCCACCCTTTTGTCCCATCATTTCTGTACTAGTTCCCCTTTTTCCCTTAAGAAAGAGATCCCTGAATCTAATCTCCTTTCGTTAGATTTTTTCCTGACCATGACCAACAACAACTTGTAACCAACCCAAACATCTGTTGACAAACATCTATAACCCATCAAATGATCAAAAGCCATCTACCTCATCTTTTGAAAATGTGGGCATCCTGTTTTCTAGACTGCTTCCTGTTATCTAGGGGCATTAGCATCTCTAGGAGATCCTGGGAAAGTTGAGGTAATCATCAAGTCTTGGGAGAGCTAGCTATAGTTGTTCAGTTTCTGTGCAATGAGAAAGTGTTATCTAGGGGCATTAGCATCTCTAGGAGATCCTGGGAAAGTTGAGGTAATCATCAAGTCTTGGGAGAGTTAGCTATAGTTGTTCAGTTTCTGTGCAATGAGAAAGTGCAAAGCTTATTTGAAGTCCTGGCTGGAGTAGTCTGTGAGGCTGGCCCATCTCAGCCAGCATTCATGTCTTGAACTGTTTTCTTCATTTCATTGTACTGTTTGTGTTTTCACAACAGTAGATTCAGTAATGGATTCATTTATACTATCTTTAAGGACTTCTAACATTCATAATAGGTATTTTGAAGTCCCTGTCTTGTGTTTCAGCTATATTATATTTCTTATGGTCTGTTGTACTGGGATTGCTTTGCTCTAATGGAGACAAGTTGTCCTGGCTGTTAATGTGATTTTATACAATGCCCAGG